GGCGCGGGGGCCGCGGGGCTGCCTCTCCGCCTCGCTCTCCGCCCCGCTCTCCGCCTCACGCGCTCTGCTCTCCCCGCAGGACAAGGAGAAGAAGAAGAAGGAGAGCATCTTGGACCTGTCCAAGTACATCGACAAGACCATCCGCGTGAAGTTCCAAGGGGGCCGCGAAGGTGAGGCTGCCGGCACCCTTCCTGACAACTTAAAATTACGAGCAACAAAAGCGATAGTGAGAACTTAACTCGCTTTTCCCCCCCAGCCTTTTAAAACCCAGTTATGTGCCGCCGCAATATTTGACAGCCCTTTCTTTGAGGATTCTAGTTTGCAGTTTAAGTCATTATTGCATAGGACTTAACTTTTTAAAGGTTTCTTTATTATTATTAATTTGAATGAAAATTTACAGAGGCTTTGGGTGTCCATTCATTCATTGTTGCACTTTTCTCTCCGCTCACCCCTCCCCCCAGTACACTCTTCTCTTTGAAAAATAAAAGTTCCCCCATTGTTTTAAAATCCCTCCCCCCCAAGGCCACTCCACTGTGCAGCCTTCGTTCTGGACTCCTGTCATGACAAAAATACCTAATCACAGGCGAGCTCTGGTGGCCTCGTGGCAAGAAGCTGCACTGCAATCCTGGAGGTGTGAGGTTCAAATCCACCAGATGCTCTGCTGGAGAAGGAGGGACAATCTCCTCCTGTACCTGTCAGATCTGATTTGATGGTACACACACACACACACACACACACACACACACACACAAAATAAAAAAAATACCTAATCACAGGCGAGCTCTGGTGGCCTCGTGGCAAGAAGCTGCACTGCAATCCTGGAGGTGTGAGGTTCAAATCCACCAGATGCTCTGCTGGAGAAGGAGGGACAATCTCCTCCTGTACCTGTCAGATCTGATTTGATGGTACACACACACACACACACACACATAATAAAAAAAATACCTAATCACATATCCCTCTCAACAGTTTTCTCCCTCATCTGTTTCAATGCAGTATAACATTATTTAACCCCTTCTTCTCAGTCTCCCACCAACCCCGATGTCAGCCCTGTTTTACAACAGTGGCACCATGCAGTTTTTGTCCTTTTGTGACTGAGATATTTCGCTCAGCATAATGTCCTCCGGGGTCACCTATTTTGAATAATATTGCATGAGTTCCTTGTTTTTCAAAGCAGCATAGTATTCCATTGTGTGAGTTTACCACAGCTTCTCCATCTGTTCGTTTGTGGACGGGAGAACTTAACTCTTAAGACCTCGCCTCCTGGGTATCGGTACTGCGTGCAGTCCTGTACGCAGCACCTGGAGGTGGATGCCCATTTTGCAGATTGAGAAACAGGCACAGAGAGGGTGACAACTTAAAGCCACAGGGGTGCCGCCGGGATGGGGGTTCACGAGTTTACCTCCCACGTGGCTTCTCAGGGTTCCCGGAACTGCTAATTTGGGGTGATGGCCGGCCTGTACCCTGGAAGGTGTTGGGCAGCATCACTGGTCAGCTCACTCCCCTACAGGTGACAGCCTTCCACCGGGTTTTCAGATGCAAAAAATTGCTTTGGAGGGAATTACCTGTCTTTCTTCCAGGGAGCAGCTGGTGGATTTGAGCTACATGCCTTCCAGCTGGCAGCACAACTCCTTACCACGAAGCCACCACTCGGTGGGCAGGAAAAACAGCCTGTCTGCCTCCCGGGGGCCCTTCGGACATGTCCAATTGCCCCAGAGGGCTTTTAAGGTCTTAACGGGAGCAGACTGTGCGTCTCTCTCTCAGGGTGTGGCTTGTGGGTTTGAAGTGATGGCCTTTTAGTCACCAACAAACGTGTAACCGTGTGCAGCCCGGGCTCTTTCCTCCTGTGTGGAACGACGCCCATCATGACAGCTAAGCTCACGGTGCAGGAGCATCAGGGGCAGTGACAGCAGTGAGAGTGACCTGCACCACCCAGCCTGACCTCGGGGAAGCCAGATTCCTGTGGGCAGGGCAAGGCAGGCGTCAGGCCAATGAGCATCAAGCTGCAAAGTCCCAGCAGGTGCTTGTTGGCTGCCCCGAGTCGCCCAGACCATCCCGTGCACCACAGAACAAATCACTGCCCGGTCCTGTGCCGTCCTCACGGTCGGTATGCGTCAGACCTCTGAGAGCCCTAAGGTGTTCACCGGCCGGTCTTCAGAAGTCGGTTGCCAGGCCTTGCTAGTCTGTCTTAGCCTGGAAGCTCCAGTAAAACTCGGTCAGCGTTAACAAACAACACATAATCCTCTGCCGACACACAGGGAGTGTGCCCTGGCCGGGACTCAAACCAGGGTCTTCTGGATAGAAGCAAGGACCCTGTCACTGAACCACCAGCATCTGTGTGACGAGTGCTACTAAGCGCTTAACCACAGAGGAGCTGGCATGAGGTGGAAGCCGGAAAGCCTCCCCACTTTGAGCAGAGGGTAGGCGTGTGCCCCTCCAGCGCTGTGGGATGTGTGGACTTGACCTTGCGCAGTGCAGAACCATTAAGCAGCAGGTAGAGAGAGTCATGCTCTGGTTCTCACAGGTCCCTCTGCCCACAGTGGCCAAAGCGTTCACTGCCTGCCAGGTCAGCAGCCGCTCTGTGGGAGCAGAAATGCGGCAGTCTCCTGTAAAGATGGCAGCTCAGGAAACCCGGGCAGGCGTCTGTCCTGCAGGGGCTGCGCACTGGGATCAGCCAGCCGCAGTGGGTTTGTGGAGGAGCCTGCGTGCAGGCTGAGGGGACCCCCCAGTCACACAGAGCCAGAGGCACGGACATGGCAGTCAGCCGTCTGCCCACACCAGCGGGGCAGGCTTCTCCACGAGGGCCACCTGGTCCCTCTCCCTCCACCTGTTCGTTGCTCAGTGTCTGATTCTATCTGTCTGGTTCTCTCTGGAACCAGCGGTCACTGTCCACCTGAGACCCTGCCCCCCAGGTCCTTCACCTCTGTGCCTTAGAGGGAGGAGAGGATGAAAACGGTGTGACGTGCCTGGGACACTGGTCTAAAGAGCCTGTGTTTCTCTTTTCTTTCCGGTGCTTTCCACAAGCCAGTGGAATCCTGAAAGGCTTCGACCCGCTCCTCAACCTCGTGCTGGACGGCACCATCGAGTACATGAGAGGTGAGCAGATGAAACCCAGCGCCTCTGTTTCAGTTACGGGTGACTGGCGGCTGCTGACGCATAGACCCTGCTGCCCGGCTTTCTGGCCAAGTCTGGAGCTCATGGTCTGGGGGCTTCAAAGAACATGTTTGCTCAGAGGAGTAGTGTTCATGTTCATTCACACGAGAACTCGCCTCATTGCCGTTGGGTTGAAACCCACTCACAGCTCACCCTTGATTGTCCAGTCTTCTCCCCCAGTGCTGCTGGTGAACTTGAACCGCCCGAGAGGTCTGGCCTTTGGATTAGCTGCGCAGCTGCCTGTGCACCCACAGGCCTGCCTGTTGATTTTTGTGAGGTAATAGCGAGTTGGAACGGGCCGATTCTGCAGTGTGTTCTCAGTGACCTGTGTGGGAGGAGCTTGCTCTTCTGCCTCCTGCAGAGCAGACCCTGGCGTCCAAGCGTCTTGTTAACTAGCACTTGAAATGCACCTGGCTGGGTCTGAACAGGATGAAAAGGCAGTTTGGGGCTGTGGAGCCTTGTCTTCTGCTGTTTCTGTCTCTTCCTGATTCCAGCAAGGAGGTCCAGGGCCCCACAGCACCCCTCCCTCTTCCTCCGTCCCCTGGCCCTTCACCCCCCTCTCCTGCTCTTCCTCCCACTTCACACTCTTCCTCCACGAGACCCAGCTCCTCCCTGACAGCCCTTGTGGGTCAGGCTGCCCAGCCAAGTGGCCTGCAGTTCCTTCGGCTCAGCACGGGGACATCAGCAGAAAGGGACACTGGCGCCCAGGGAGGGCCTCGCCCCTCAGGAGCCAGCACTGGGGTCGAGACGAGACAGATCTGTGGGGTCTTAACTGACCATGGAGGCAGTTGCAGGGCAGAAGTGTCTGCTCCGTGCCAGGAGTGTGGGTTAGGCCCGCCCACCCATGCTGGGGTGTCTTGGCAGCCCCTCATTTTGTCGCCTCGCTCCACCCTGGAGCAGCTTCCCTGGACAGCTGGCCCTCCTTGGCCATGAGGGACAGGCCTCAGGAGATGTCCAAGAGGCCGCAGGGATGTCAGTGTGCACAGGGCTCAGTGACAGCTAGATGTCTCAAGGTCACGCTGAAAGGGCCTTTGGACAGCACACACATGGGGGCCAGGCCGCTGCTGAGGGGCTCAGCAGAACAGTCTGTGGTACGAGGAGGATCCCCGCAGGTGCTATGGGCCCAGGTCTGACCAGATCCCAGGCTGGACCGCGGCGGGGCCACAAGGGGGCGCGCTGACGCAGTCACCTTGTCAGGTTCCCAGCTCAGGAGGCGAGACACCCACCTGGGGCCCACCCTTGCCTGCTCCGGCCCTGCAGCCTTCTCACCCTGTGCATGGGCCTGTTCTCCTGCCTGTTCAGACGAGGTCGCTTTAGGACAGGAAAGGAGCCCTGGTGGATGGAAAGGGCTGGGGTTGCTCCCATGAAGTGGACAGCCTAACAATCTGTGCAGGACAGCCTGCCCTCTGAGCCCAAGAAGGAAAACCCAGGCTGGATCCCATGCACAGGCCAGGCTGGGGACTGACTCACTCGTGTGGAGGGGACACAGTCTGGTCAGTAACAGGCCCCTCCCAGTGCCACGTGAAGACAGGAGGGGAAGCTTTTCACTGCTCTAATCCCGTCACAGCCCTTCTAGAACCTTCTGCTGAGCCACCTCCCCACTACCAGCCTCCCTTGAATAGAAGTGGAGCCAGCAGCTGCTGGTTGTGTTTTCTCAGCTGCTCGTTGGGGCCTGGGCCCCCGGAGTCTGCGCTTGATGCCCCCAATTAGCTCTGACCTGGTACTGCTGCCTCCTCTGGGCCCTGTGGCCTCATTGCAGAAAGAAAGAACGGGGACAGTGGGGCAGCTGCTTCCAGAACCTTCCAGCACAAAGAACCTGTAGGATGGGCAGCCTGTCCTGGTCACTGCTGGGGTGTGGGGACACGGCTGTGGCAATCTTGGGCTCTTGCGGTGAGGATGGGAAGTCACCATGAAGACCCAGCATTCCCAGCCGTCGGCCTGTGGTTCAGCTGCCCGGGGGGGCGAGGATTCGGGCGTTCTCTGTCTCAGGGCAAGGTCTCCTGGCCACTAGATGCCATCGAGCGTGTCCTAGTGACCACATGTGACAGCACGACTGTCCCATCACGGGCTCTGGGAGCAGAGCATCAGGTCTTTGCTGCCGTGGAGCCGGGCGGGGATCTGAACCACCGCTTTTGTGGTTAGCAGCTGAGTGGTTGCCCCCTGGGGCTGTGGGTAGCGTCTGACAGTCCTGGCAGCTCAGTCCCTGCTGTGTGTCTGTCTGCTCCCTTCTGGAACCCCAGTCAGCATTGGTCAGGGCCTCACCCTGCTTGTGTGACCTGGTCAGGGGGACTTGCTGTTCTGAAGGATGTGCTTCAGTCCCTAAGCTCTCTCTCTCTGTGTCCCTCCCCAGACCCTGATGATCAGTACAAACTGACGGAGGACACGAGGCAGCTGGGCCTGGTGGTGTGCCGGGGCACGTCCGTGGTGCTCATCTGTCCGCAGGACGGCATGGAGGCCATCCCCAACCCCTTTATCCAGCAGCAAGACACCTAGAGGGCCCAGCGGGGACACGGCCCCCATGAAGGCCATCCCCAACCTCGTCATCAACAGAAGGACGCCGGGGGGGGGGCACAGTGGGGACATGCCCCTCCATGGAGGTCATCCCCTGCCATCCAACAGCAAGATGTCTGTGGGGCACAGTGGGGACACAACTCCATGCAGGACGTCCCCAACTCCCTCATCCAGCAGCAAGACACGGGGGGGGGGGGGGGCTCAGCAAGAACTAGCCCCTCCCCTGCTGGCCCATCAGAATCCTTTTTCTTTTTGTATAGGTTTTTGTTTTGTTAATAAAACTGCAAAATACAAGTGTCCAGGGTCCAAGGGTCTTGCTTGGGTTAATAGATGCTGGTCACTGCAGACGGATGTAGGGTCCAGCGGGAGCACCAAGGGGAGGCCAGGTGAGGGGGACCGCATCCTGGACCTTTCCAGAATACTCCTTGAACCTAGGGCTTTGTTGGGAAGGGTAGGGTGGACCTCTGCTGGCCTCCCCTGTGTCCCCCTTCACACAAGCTGTGGGGGCCCTCCAGGAGGTCCACACCCCTCATGCAGTGCCTCACTGTGGCTCAAGGAACAGACAGATACTTCACGGTCCTGCCCTGTGTGGCCTGGCCACCTATCCAATGTCCCCTAGCCACTGCTATCCCCACAGTGTGGACTACCAGCACTTCCTACCTGGGTCTCACCCATCACCCTTCATCCTGGACGCCCTTCCTCACCAGCAAACACTACTTGTCCTGTGTTTGGCCACTAAGCCAGCTCCAGCTCATCATGGCCACGTACGGGTTCTCTGGTGGCCACTGTGCAGCCCAAGTGCCTCCCTACCTGGATGGCCCACCTTCCCACCCTGCCAGAGTGTTCTGTTGTCTTCCATAGGGTGGTTGTGGTTTTTTTCACCTTGTATTTTTTTTATTACTAATTTCAATGAAAATTTACAGACTTTGGATTTCCATTCATTCACT